CAGGTCAGACTGCCCATATTACATCCTGCTCAGCACTTGAAAGGTTCTGTCATGATGACCATGTAAACTGGACCACTAAGCAGAGAAACAAGACGTCCTCACGGTCTGGCTTTGCATAACATCTTGTGAACAAGGTCAAATTAAGTTAACACTTTAAATCACAAACTGAGCAGAAAAACCTGTGAGCTATTTGTTTCTTTCATGGATCAGAACAGGGGCCAACATACTTCAACCGTGTCTAATTCACAACAGCTTTACGAAGACCACCTGTAGATCAACTCAAGTCTGGCCTGTTCGTTACCATCCTAGCAGATTCTTGTCCAAATATCAAAAACTCTTCAGAGCTTCCTGTTTTTAACAAAGATTTCAGCTTCCTCCTAAAATTTAATTATTCTTACAGGTAAAGGTATCTCAAGCTATGCAGCTGAACCAGAGAAGGCTGGAGTGTCACTGACAGAGTGCATGCGAGAAGCCGAGATGCAGGTTCCCTCAAGGAGACACCAGGAGACCCCGCTCTATCTGGGGGCTACAGCTGGAATGAGACTGCTGAAGTAAGTTCAACATATATCTGTAATGCAACTTAAAACATAATTTAAAAAAAATAAACAGATTTGAGTGCCAGTTTGACAAGCCTCAACACACAACATGGCAACATTGTTATGGTCCAGTCAAGCAGAAATGCAAGCAAAGTAGTATCTCTGTGGTAGTTCTACCAATAACAGAAATCCTGAACCTGAATCTTTATTGCAGCACTGATCTCTAATGAGCTCAAATGTCCTGAACTACTGATGAGCTAAACTCTTATTAGATGTGCTTGCCATTTGTAAATGAAATGACACCTAATGCCAACAGTTTTTTTGTTGAGATCCACAGACTGTACTGAACCCACAGTACTTAATATAAGCCGTTTTTCAAAATAAAATCATTTGTGCATAGAAATAATACAAAATACATTCATTTACAATTACCATGTGGGACATTTGATGAGATTACAAGAGGACAAAAAAAATAAAAAATAACACACAGAGTTGATCCAAAAGTTTATTTCTCAAATATAGGTTTTAATGGAAACTTTAATTTTAGCACTTAGTGAAACTAGTATTGATGGGTTAATGTGTGCAGCCAAGTTGAACTTCCCAGTAACATGCATGTTGCATTGTATGCATTTGTGTACAAAGGGAGACTCAGTGCTTCACATAATCCCATGAGACTCAACTCTTTAGTTGTATTTGCATTGTAAAGAAGAAAATCCAGCTATCCACCTTTTCCACTGACAAATGTTGTAATTTATGTCCGTGCAAACTTTAGTGACAGGGAAATGAATATCTTGCTGTCAAAGCAATTTTAAATGATACAGTTCGTTCATTATTTATTAGTAGCTGCATTGTTTTGAATTATGCATGTGACTCACTGTATGAAGTTGCTGATGGTGTGTGTGTGTGTGCAGTATAGAGAACAGAGAGGCATCAGACAAGGTGTTTGAGGCTGTGGAGAAAGCCCTGCAAGGATTCCCTTTTTCGTATCAGGGGGCGAGAATACTCAGCGGGCAAGAGGAGGGCGCCTTCGGCTGGGTCACCGTCAACTACTTGGATGATCGCCTCAAACAGGTTTGTCAACAGATCTAGATACAGATCAATGCAAGTCTGTCAAATTTCAAAGTTTTTGTATGTGCAAGGGTGTCACCACTTCATTTCTCTCTTGTTTTTGCTTCAGGGTCTAGAAACAACAGGAGCTCTTGACCTTGGTGGGGCCTCAACTCAAATCAGCTTTGTACCTCATGAATATGACATTTCAGAGTCACCAAGCAACTCTGTGGCCTTCCGACTCTATGGAAATGACTACAATCTGTACACTCACAGTTTCCTTTGCTATGGGAAGGACCAAGTGCTAAGAATGGCTCTGGCGCATCAGACTCAGGTAATCCTTTGAGATTTTTAAATGTTCAAGGTTCATTCTGTGATTTTCAGTGACTTTGGGTAAAATTTAGAGCAATTTATCAAGTTACCTAAATACATTTCCTGCGTCTCTTTTTCAATCTCTTTCCTAGTCAGGTCCAGTAACAATGTCTGATCCGTGCTTCCACCCAGGCTATTCAGTGACAAGGAATTACAACGCCCTGTATGACAGCCCATGTGTCTCAGAAAGGAAACCCAAAGAAGCTCCTTTAAACTTCACTCACACAGGAGTAGGAAACTTTTTTCAATGCCAAGAAGTTGTCAAAACTCTGTTTAACTTTACGTCCTGCAAATACAGTAGATGCTCTTTCAACGGGATCTTCCAGCCACCTCTGCAAGGATCATTTGGGGTAAAATAGTTCAGATGTTTGTGTTTTTGTAAAAGTTCATACATCATACGAGTCATTTCTCTAGAGGTCTACAACATTTCTGCATTTTATGATGATAACATTTTTACTGCTTGACTTTTTCAATCAAGACTTAAATCATTTTCAAAAGAAACCAACTATTTTTTACGTCAAACAGACTGGTTACTGTATCTTTAAAATAGGTGAAAAAGGCTCTAGGCTGTTTCCACCAACACAGTTCTAGTGTTGGTACCCAGGCTTAGAAAAATATGGGAATTCAAAGTTTTAATAAATAGAGGGAAACAAATCAGTTTTGTCAGTATTTGACCAGCCAAACACTGATCAGAGCCAATCAGGGCAAAAACTGGTCAATTCCAGTCTCTTTCCCAATCACTATTTTAATTGTTAAGTTATTATTTTTCCTAAACTTGGTAGATAAAAAGGGAAAACAACTAAATAAGAATATTTTATTGGTTGTTGGCTTGCATGATCCAACCACCACCTCCTGACGATCGTAGTTCTTTTCTCTGGCCCAGCAAAGACTTGACATAACACCAATATTTTATGTGAAAGATAGCAATGAAACTGATTTTTTTTTTAATGGTGCTAATAAAATACAACTTCCAATTTAGCTCTGGAACCAATTCCCTGGAAATACCCCTCACCATTGTGAGTCACCTCTATTTTCAGACATATTTTGTAAAACATTAAAGTTTTTAGAAAAAACAGTCAAGTTAACAGAACTGTATTTCAAAAAGTAAACTAAAAACCTGATATTTTTATAAGCCGATTCTCTAAAATTTCTCCTGGCAGCAAACATAATAAGTCGGTATGTTAGCCTTGTGTGTCAAATAGAAGAATAGAACAAAAGGGCAATGCTTCATTCTTCTAAATATAAAGCTCATATCCTTTGTCCCATTTCCTCTCTCATTGTAGGCCTTCTCTGCGTACTACTTTGTGATGAACTTCCTCAACCTGACTGATAGTTCCATCCCATTAGAAACTGTGAAGGCCAATCTAGCAAACTACTGTGAAACCCCGTGGAATCAGGTTGGGCCATTTTTATTTATAAGACGCATGCTGAAAACTGATTTGCTGCATTAATACATTTCCACTTTTTAAATAAACTCCTTCAGTATTTTCTGTACTGTGCATTGATAATATCCCAACATTTAAATTGTTTGAACAGATAAAGCAGCAACACCCAAAGGTTAAAGAGAAATACCTGGCCGAATATTGCTTTTCTGGCACATACATTGTCACACTGTTGACAGAAGGATACAACTTCACCAAGGAGACATTCTCTAAGATAAAATTCATCAAAGAGGTCAGTAGATCACCACCCACACTTTCCTGTTCCGCACATTCAAGGCCAACGCCTCCTTTCAAACTTCTGCTACATCCTGTTTTATCCTCACTGATGGCAAAATCCTTAAATTATAACTTTTAATGGAAAAACTACTCAGTAGGTATTGACTGGTATGAGGTTCTCATTGTATGATAACTTGAGTAAAATACAATTTTTGTACGGTATTTACACACTAAATTAAATAAATACCTAAAATGAAACAGCTTTTATTTAAAACTGAAATATATATATATATATATATATATATATATATATATATATATATATATATATATATATATATATATATATATATATATATACACACACACACACACACACATATGGTAACAGCTGGCACATGACCCATTTTTGCTTTGTATTGCTTTGTCACCTGGCATGTGACACAGCCTTACTCTTCATGACTGTATTGTTCCTCAATCCTACATCAACCAATAACACAAACTCTGTCTTGTAAAGAAGGATCAAAGGATGTCCTTTCCATTGCAGATATTTAGGCAGAAAACTAAACTGTAGATCCTGTAGCAGTTTAGATTATGCAAGGAAAAAGAGAAATTTTAAACTTTGTATTTTGTCGTTAAGGGAAAACTGAAAATTGACAGAAATTCAAGGTTTCATGTTAAACTAGAAATGCAGGGATCAGGCTTTTTCCTGACAAATACAGCGTTCCTGTTTTCTCTGTAGTGTGTCCTGCTAAATTTTAAGTTTGTCTAATTAATACCATTTTTTTCCCCTAAGTACTAAACCTCATCATTGGAAAAGTAAATAGAACAAGTCTGCGAAGCTTCATTTTGAATAAAACATAAAGTTAAGACACATGTTCATCTGATTTGTACTAAGCTCAAAAGAAATTCATAAACATACATGCTGTTGACTCCAAAGCTTATAGACAAAAAACAGAGTGTGCCCAGTTTTGATCCACCTAATGAATAGGAAATATATACTACTATATGTTTTATTATATATGGCTTAACATTAAGTGAAATCCCACAATTATTTCTGTGCACCTCTATTGAAAACTAAATAAATCATTCTAAATGCTTCATCAGTTATCTGAACAAAAACTATGAAACAACCACCTGCTTAGTCACGCAGGAACAAATGAAATAGCAAAACTTCCACAAAACATGGATCAGACTACAGATCTTACAAGAATATGACTGTAAGGTCCATAAATTATAAAACAGCCAGCACAGCAACTTAAAAACCTCAAGCACAGTTTCCATTTCAAGATTTCTCTAGACAATTTTTTGGTCACTTTTCAATATTACATAGGTGTTTATTATCCAAATGTTAAAGAATTGTAGCTTGGAGAAAATAAGTTCCTACCGTATCCAGGTACCACAGAGGTTATCATCTTTACTGGGGAATCTTTTGACATCAAGGCGGGATAGATCTGTGAAAATGATGGACAAGCATGTATATCAGTAAAAATATACACATCTGAATGGAATACTGGCTGTTCTTTGTCTTTCTTTTTAAACATCAGCTGTCAGTTTAGCTCAAGATGGTATGTCTATCTTATATACCGTACCTTATGCAAAAAGCAGTGTTTTTGCTTTTTGCATAAGGTACGGTCTTTAATTAGTAGGAAATCTGACATTTTTCTTTAAAACCTTAAGAACATTTCTCCCAGTTCTGACACATGGAAAATAGAAAAAAATAGGTCTGCTACCATCAGTGAGTCTATTTTGGCTCCAAAGGTTGGATTTGTGATTTTGCCTTCCTGTTGGCAACTCAGCCAGACAATGATGCAGAGTTTTGGGCCAATAAAACTATGTTTGATTTATTTTTTTTTCATCCAATGACTTCCTAAATCAAACAAATAATATGTTAATTGTATGTATAATCAAATTTGAGG